GCGCCCCTGTGTTGGCCCCTCCCCGAGTGCGCCCCCTGCGGCCGGGGGCGTACGCCCCGGGCGCCCGGGCGCCCCCCCCGCGCAGCAGAGATCCCTCGGGGCCCCCCGTGCAGCACAACTGTCACACACAGACCCGACATGCGCGCACACCAGTGCCGCCTCACAGGCGCCGAAGTCTGATACCGCCCCCAGTCGCCTCGGCAAACTCACAATCCACTCTTGCACGCCGGCGGGCCCTGCCTCGGGGAGGCCCGCAGGTGTCCTAGGGTGGGCCCCGCCCCCCCCCCCCCCCCCGCCCTCGCCTTGCCGCCCCGGCCCTTTCCTGCCTCAAGGCAGTGGATGATTTTTCTATTATTATATCTCGGCTTTTCCTCCCGGCGGCCAGGCCCGCCGTCGTTCCCCCGGCGCACACTGGGCGCGTCAAAGGCCGGGCCTTGTCCCGCGCAAACATCCCCCCCCCCCCCCCTCCCCCGCCGGCCACCTCCCAGGTCCCGGCTGCCTGAGTGTGCGTGAATCGGTGCACAAATACCACAACCCTCCCGCCCCCCGCCCCGGGAGAGAGGGGCAGGCGAAGACAGCATCAAGCGCACCCCTAGGCGACCCGCATCCACATGCGGGGATGCTGCTTCCGTCAAGACCCGGAGCACAAGAATTCGCTCCTCCCCGGGTCGGCCGGCCGCGCGCCCTCGCCCAGCCCGTGCGCGCGCGCGCACGGCGGCCCAGCGCCAGCATGCATTTAACACTCCCCACTGACGCTTCTTCCGGCCTCCCCGCCCGGGCAGGTGCCGTGTTTCTGGCACATCACTCTTCCCCTCCCGGGGCAGGAGCCACGACCGGCGGGGGGGGGGGGGGGGCCAGTGAGGCTCGCCCGCCCGAGGGGCCGCGCCCGGCCCGGGGGCTCCAGGTAACGGCCGGATCGGCACCGGCGCCGGCACGACATACACGTCCCCCGCTCCGCCCGTCTCCCCTTGAGGCGGGGCGGAGCCCGCCTGCAGAGACACCGTCGCGGCCGGCTCGCCCTCCAGGCCCCGGCTCGGCCCCGCCCCCCCCCCCCCCCTGGAGCACCACTGCTCCTAGGGTATCAGGTTCTGGCGCCGACTTTTGGCGCCCACATTTACGTGCGGGGCGCATACTCGCCGGGCCGCTGGTGGCCCCTCCCGGCCGCGTTCCTCGCAGCCCAGACACCGGGTTTAGGGAGAGGGCCGGCCCTGCGGCCGGGCAGAGGGGAAAGGGTTCGGTTTCGGGCGGCCTTGTGTGGCGAACGCCCCGGCCCTTGCGCGGTCCCCTTTCGGGCGTCGTTTCCCTCGCATCCTGGCGCCCTCGGCCGCGTGTGGGTGTGGGTGTGGGTAGTGGGTAAGAGGTATATGTGCGCGCGCGCCCGCATGCGTCCGGGGGGGGGGGGCGCGCGCACGCGCGCATATGCACAAACACCCGTTTGCCATCCTCCGTGCCCCCCCCCCCCTCCCCCGGTGCGCCAGCTGTCTGCATGGTGTTGCCGGTTTGGGGCCCAAGCACTGGGCAGTCTCCCCGCCGGCCCTCCCGGCCGGTCTCCGCCCTTGGTCCTGCTCGTCGCCCTGCCTGCCCGTCCCCAACTGTCCAACCAGTTGATCAACAACGGCATGCTCCGGAATTGCAAGGTGACGTTGCACCAATGGCTTGGTCCCGCGGGGATGCGGGGCCCGCGGCATCGACCCCCGCTCTCTCCCTCTCTCTCTCTCTCTCTCCGCCCGCCCAGAGGACCGCAGTTCCCGGCCGGATCAGCCTCCGAGAGGGCCGGCCGGGGATGGCAGGCGCGCCCCAACGCCCGCCCGCCCGGGTCCCCCCACCGACACGCAGCGACCAGGGCCCAACAGCACATTTGGCTGGCGTTGCATGCAGGCGAGGGGTCCCCGCCGAACCATCCCCGGATATGAGGTGCATGGTGTTGCGTCCCCACCCCTCCTCGGCCGTGTGTATGTGTCCGAGGAAGGGCCAGGAGCCCGGGGCGGAATGCACAATGAGCCGCGCCGCCGCGAGCGAGGCCCGCCGCATCCCGGCATCCTGCGACTGCTCTCCAGCGGAGGGGGGGGGGGGGGGGAATGGCGCGGGAGAATGTGGGCCACCGCCCCGGTCCCCCCTCGGGGCCGACAGAGGGCCGGCAGGGCAGGGGTTGCCGGTGAAACCGCGGCACCCCCTGCCCGAGCGCGGCAACCCTCGCGCCTGCCCGCACCCGGGCCGGCGCGCGGTGGCCGTATGCGCGGGGCCTACGAGACCGAGGGGGAAGGAGCCGCCCCGTCCTCGTGTCCTCCGTGCGAGGTTGACCCCCCTTGGACCGGCCACTCTCACCTGAGAAAGTGCCCATCGTTCGCAGAGACTCTGCCCAGGCCCTGCGCCCGCCTCTCCTCGTGCCTGCCCTTGCCAGGGCATCCGCCGCCGGCCCCCGCCCCCGCCTCCGCCCCCCCCCCCCGCCCGGGCCGCGCATGTCCCGGCACAGTGTTCCCTCCCCCACCTGCGCGTGTGATGCATGAGCATTGGCGTTGGCGCCCGGACCCAGTGAGACACACTCGGCGCATGCCAGCGTCATTAGAGGGTGTTGCCTCTCATTCCCCGGCTGCGGCGGGCATATTAACTGGGTGTGTGCGCGCGCGCGCGCGCGCGCGGACAAGGCCAAATTTCCTGCGAGACACTGAGCACGGCAAGGGCGTCGGGACACGGCCCCGCAGCGCAGGAGGACGAAGACCGGCCACTCTGCGGAGCGCTTCCCGCCAGGCGAGCCAATCACATGCCCCGCACGCCAACACACCACATGATACATGTCGATCGTCGGGCCCGCCCCGCCCCCCCCCACTCCACCGGAGGAAGGCCCGCGCCCTCGCTCGTCCTGCCGCGACAGGCGCCGCAGGGGGAAGACCGAAAAGCAGAGAGAGGGGAAGGAGGGCACCCCACACACGAAAGTCATCAAGATGCATGTGCCCGGATGCAGAAAAAAAAAAAAAAAAGGCAGCAAGGAGGCAGGGCTACTTCGGGTCACACACTCGCACTGTATGGTATTATCCCACCCGCGCAGCCACCAAGGGGCCCCTGTGTGCAGAGCCGGATGGGCAGGAGATGGGAGGGGAAAAAGAAGAAGAAGAAAAAAGGCCAACACGAAGAGAAGCGCAGCCACATCCGGGCACATGCCTTTGCCCTCAGTCATCCGCACGGTCCGACATCGTGGGGCCGCGGTTCAGCTGGCGCTGCGTGTCGCGCCGGGTGGCCGCCTCTGGCCGCAGGGTGGGGAAGCGCCGAAGGCCAATGCCGCCCGGGGCCAGGCCTCGCCCCGGGCCGGCGGCCGCCGCCGCCGCGGTCCGGGACTTCTGCGCCGCCCGGGTCCGAGCCATGGAGTGGTTCTGGTACGCGCGCCAATTGGCCACCCGCTCGTCGCGCTCGTCCTCCCAAACGGCCGCCTGGGTGGCGGCCTTCTGGTGCTGGGCCTTGGCCCGCTCGACGGCCTCGCGCTCGCGCTTCTCATCCTCCTTGGCCCGGCGCTCGCGTTCCATGCGCGCCAGCGCCGCCTCGGCCAGGTACCGGCGCAACTCGCGCGCCACAGACTCCGGAGGCACCGGCGCCCCGGGCGGCAAATCCGCCTCCAGGCGCGACTCGATGTCCTGCACCAGCCCCACCAGGAAGGCGCTGCGGTTCTCATCGCGCAGCTCCCCGCGCGCCTTCTCCAAACGCTGGAAGGCATCGCGCGCCTTCGGGTGGGAGCACTTATCCGGATGCACCAGCAGCGACACCCGCCGGTAGTGCCGCTGGATCTCGGCGTCCGTCAGTCGCGACGATGGCAGCAGCCCGAGCACATCGTACGGCGAGTGGGTAAAGGCTTTGAGGATGCGCTCGACCTCCTTTTCGCGATCGAATTCGGTGGCCGTCGCCTCAAGTTCGGCCTCGAGCTTGCGGATCTCGGCCGCGGACATGGTTGGGTGCTGTGTGGTGTCTAGCCGGGCAGGGGGCCGGAGCCGGCGGCGGCGCAGGTGAGTTCCGGGGGGTGTGCGCGGTTGTGGGGATGTCGGCGATGATGCTGGACACGAACCTCACGCGTGAAAGTCGGGCGGGGGGGGGGGAGAGGAGCTGGGGGGGATGCGTATAGGGGCGAGGAGAGGGGGGGGGGGAAAAGAGAGAGAGAGGGAGAGAGAAGGAGAGAGGGGGGATCTGTGTGTGGATTCCTGCCGGCGCGCACACTGCCCGCCGTAGGCCACTCACTCATCAGCGGCCTGGTGGTTGAGGGGATGTTGGTCGCCGGCCGTCGGCGATGCCTGGGTGCCAACGGATCGGTCCGGCGCTTCGATGCGCCGCGCGTCCCCCCCCCCTCGTGCCGTAGCTGGTCCACAGCCGCCCGCGCTGATCGGCCTCAGGGTGAAAATTGGCCCGGCCCGGGCAGGCAGCTGACATCTACCCGACATCCCCCTCCCTCCTTCGCCTGTTCCCCCATGCCTCTCTCTCTCTCTCTCTCTCTCTCTCTCTCTCTCTCCCCCCCCCTCCCCCCTCTCCCTCCCCCCCACATCGCCTCAGCCACCAGTCTCTCAATCTACACCATGACCAGTCCCGGCAAGGGCCCGATTGCCTTCCTGCAGCTGGTCGGCAAGCTCAAGCACGTCCGCCGGTCCGGGTGGATCCGGTCCGGCGTCGGTCCCGGCCGTGCGCCTGGCGAGGTTGTCCCGCGGTTCACTCCCAGCCCCCCGACCTCCGGGCACCTCGGCAGCCAGCGCATCGAGTCCGTCTCGGACCACATGCACCGAATGAGCGTCATGGCCCTGCTGATGGCCTGGGCCCCAAGCTCGGCGCAGGCCCTCGTCGACCGCGACAAGTGCATCCGCATGGCCCTTGTTCATGTGCGCCCGACTGCGCCATCCCCCATGTTGCCTGCCGGCCCTTTCCCCCCTGTTGCTGACATCACTTCGTCTCCCTCGTGTCTCCCCCCCCCTCTCTCTCTCTCTCTCTCTATCCTTGCCGTCCCCTGCCTACTTGGCATGTGCCGCACAGGACATCGCCGAGTCTATCGCCGGCGACATCACCCCCCATGACGGGGTCTCCAATGAGGACAAGCACCAGCTCGAGCTGGTACGTGAGCTCCGTTGCCCTTTTCCGTCTGCTTGACTTGTCGTTGGCCAGTGGCCGCCATCTGCCCTTCGCTGACACTGCTCCATGTCTTGCTCCCCCCCTGGCACTCCGCTGCCTGGTGCGCAGGACGCCCTCATCACCCTGGGCAATTCCCTAGGCGAGGAGTATCAGGACGCCTTCTCGGAGATCCTGTCCCTCTGGAATGAGTACGAGGCGGGCGAGTCGCCGGAGGCCATCCTCGTCAAAGACCTGGACAAGCTTGAGATGCTGGTCCAGGCGCTGGAATATGAGAAGAGTATGCCATCCCGCTTGGCTGCATCGCAACACCACCGCCTCCCGCGCCGGGCCCACGCTGACACGCCGACACGCCGACACGCCTCCACCCGGCCTCCTTTTCTTTCTCTCTCTCTCCCCCCCCC